CTTTTACGTGTGATATCTCAGAACTATATACAGACAAGACACTTTTCTGTAGTTATCTTCCCGCTTACGAATAGAACGTGTGCAGGAGATTTAGGATAACAAACGAAAAGCTAACAATTGGTGGAGAAGTTGGGCAAAACTTTATTTGGTCTGTATTAACTCCATTAACTATCCGCCTATATATCTATCTATATAATCCCATAATTTCTTCCCGTTGTATTCAATTAATTTAACAGCGTGTAACATTAATTGAATTAAGTTATATTTATATTTTGGGTATTTTTACTGTCACATAACGAATTTCTTAATACAAGAATATAAGACGTCCTTGTAGAATATCTCAAGGAATTCATTTATCTCATCATCTCCCATTTAAAAAAGAGATTTTGTTCCCCTTGTAAGTGTAACATCTGTTTACTTGACAATTATTGGCGTTGTCAAAATCTATTTGCTTCTTTTTTTCTTAAACATATATATTTTTTCTTTTTTTCTTTATTTCTTGCTAAAAATTTAATCTGTCTTTTGTGTCGTAAAAGAAAAAATGTCTGGCGATAAAATTGCAAGTGATCCACTTGAAAATAAAGAAACGTTAGAAGAGTTATCGTCTGATGTAACAAAGAAAGATATAACAGCTACAATGAAGTATGATAAACATCGTAGATTAACTATGAAGCCCTCTAGTAATCGATATAAAAGATCTGATGATAATAAATCATCAGACGAAGGATCATCTTATGGTGAACCTGAAGAAGAAGATACTTTTGATACATTTATTCTAAATAATTTTAGTCCGTTTTCCGGAAATGAGAATGTGATTGAATGGTTAGATATTACTGATAAGAAGTTCAATACTTTTAAAATTTCACGTAAACATCGATGTCTCGCAATTCCTTTGCTTGTCGAAGGAGATGCTAAACGAATATATATCGAGAATGAGAATAAGATAAATACGTATGATGATTTCTATAAATTGATATGGATGGAATATAAACCTATCAATTATAATTTTCAACACACAAAATCGTACTCTGGTCCACCAACATTAAGTCAGAGTAATTTAATCGAGGATGCGTCTATACGAAAGAAAGTTGTTTTCGATGATAAACCGAAAATGACTACTAGTACCTTTGAATTAAATGATAGTTTACCGCAACCTCCAATTTTACGTTCAACTGCATTACATGATCTAGGAGCCACCGGTTTATCCGGTGATGATCCTGTTAATCGATCAAATGTTGCAATATCCCAGAATACATTTCTTAATTCTAGTATTCTTGATCAAACAGCTTATGCACTTCGTCGTGCAATCGTTGATAGTACTGATAGCCCCGATACGATAAGTTTTGAATGTGAAACACCTCTACCCTGCTCAAAGGCTGTTGTTGATTTTGGTGCCACCAATGCTATTGGTGAGAAACCAGCTATGAAATTCATGATAGTTAGTTCTGATCCGTCTATAATTACTTTTGATCTAATTCGAAACGAGCTTCCTCGAGAGATCGTAGAAAGCTCGATGAAAAACCCCATGAAATTACAAGGTGGCCAAAATTACATGTTAAAACGGGTCCGCCTAATTGAACACGTTGCACATTTGGTAACCATTCCGAATTCTAATCAGTTAGAATTACTTTCTTATGTGTTACGAAGAGATGTTCCTCAATGTCATAAAAATATTACAAGTATGTATAATTCAAGGAAAAATTTCCTTTATAAAAAAAGAAAGAAAAATCAACTTTTAAACACAAATGCTTATGGGAAAAATAGCTATAAAAAATGGCTTTGAACTCATCCTTATGAACATTCGTTTTATTAATGTTCCTCATCTTTGGTCTTTTTTGTATATTTATGTTTGTTATATTTTTTTTGTTTTTGTTATATTCATGAAGACTTGTTTGTCTGTGGGCCTCTTTTTGGTCAACATGGTTGATGTTAACTCTCCTTTTGCTTCTCTTCTCCTTTCAACTCAAGACTTTACCTAAAGACGTTTTTTGTAACATTTCCAGTTTTCCTTTTTCTTTCCAGCCTACACTTGTGTGTGGGCAGGAGTTTTTTTCCGAAGATTCGTTTCTGCCGAAGGGGAAAGGTGTTAGCGTCAACAGATGACACTATGTTGCCGCTAACTAATTTAGTC